ACTATAAATTATGCCCAAAATAAAAGAATCAAAATTAAATGTGCAATGTTGATTTAATAAACCTAACATTCAAGTTTTATTTCTTTTAATTTTCTTATTCTGGTGAAGTTTTTGTTGTGCCATACCAACCTATGACTTCTATGACACAACAATTTTTTTTTTGTTTTTACGTTTTAACTAACTTTTGGTCATTACTTTTCAGAGTTTTAAGAAGTAAAACAATGCAAATTGATGTTTATAGCCATTGGTTCTTTGGATTTGAAATATATACTTCCTCCGTCTATTTTTATTTGTCCATATTTGACTCAGTTTACGCCCCTAAAGAGTAATTAATAAAATGATAATTTTACTATACCGTCCTTCAGTTATAAAATACTATGGAAAATGCGAAAATGACAAGACAAAGATAGTTATTGTAAATAATCATAACAACAAACATAAAGCTAAGTTTGTTGAATAACGACACATTGTTAATATGAAGCAAATACCATAAAAGTGATGTTAATTTGATGATTGAAAATATAACAAACTTAGAGAAAATGACTTATAATATACTCAAAAGATTAATATTCATGAAAATTTATGCAATTAGATAGGTTAAGTTGGTGAACAAATCAATTCTACAAGAGTTCAACTAAGTTTTTTGTACACAATTTTTTTTATCTATAAAAGCAAACTCAACTCTAATATCTTTCACAAACAACTTGCATTTCTACTAATACTCGAATCGAGTTTTAGTAAAAAAAAAAAGAAGAAGAAAAGAAATGGAGGCTATGAAAAACATTGTGAAATCTTTGAGTTCTTTATGTTTTGTATGCATTTTGCTTCTCTTTGCAAATGTAGCATCCGCGAAAACTCATCACCATGATTTTGTTGTAAGATTTTATTTAGTTATTTGCTAACATGTCGTAAATCTTTTTTTTTTTTTAAAAAAAACATTATGTTACTGAACTCTGTTTTATCTTTGGAACAGATTCAGGCAACACCAGTGAAGAGGCTATGCAAAACTCACAACAGCATAACGGTGAATGGACAATTCCCTGGACCAACATTGGAAGTTAACAACGGGGATACTCTGGTGGTTAACGTTGTCAATAGAGCTCGATATAATGTTACTATTCACTGGTAAGTTCATGCTTGCAGACTGATATATGTTAGACGCGATTATATGTATTGTCATTTGTTCTACTTTTTTCAAAAGGCACGGCGTTAGGCAAATGAGAACAGGATGGGCAGATGGACCAGAGTTTATTACTCAATGCCCGATTAGACCAGGAAAGAGTTACACTTATCGGTTTACTATTCAAGGACAAGAAGGGACTCTTTGGTGGCACGCCCATAGCTCGTGGCTTAGGGCTACGGTTTATGGAGCTTTGATTATCCATCCAAAAGAAGGCGGAAACTATCCATTTCCTAAGCCCAAAAGAGAAACACCAATTGTGCTTGGTACTATTTCACATTCTCTTATGCATTAGCCTATATTCTGTTTCCCCTAGAAAAAAAAATTTGAAATGATAGTTTTGGAAATGCTGATCAGGTGAGTGGTGGGATACGAACCCTATTGACGTTGTCAGACGAGCAACAAGAACAGGAGCAGCTCCTAATGTATCTGATGCTTACACCATCAATGGTCAACCAGGTGACCTTTACAAGTGTTCTAAACAAGGTTAGTTCTAATATTTGTAACACGATGCTAACGTTCACTAAATTATGATTTGATATCTTACCTGTTTAGGACATGTTTTCATAAAAATCGTATTTATGTAGATACAACCATAGTCCATATAGACTCAGGCGAAACCAACCTCCTTCGAGTTATCAATGCTGGATTGAACCAACAGCTTTTCTTTACTGTGGCAAACCACAAGCTTACTGTAGTTGGAGCAGATGCCAATTATGTTAAACCTTTCACAACATCAGTCCTTATGCTCGGACCAGGACAGACAACCGATGTCCTGATCAAAGCTGATCAGAACACCAAACAGATACTACATGGCAGCACGTGCCTATGCAAGCGCTCAAGGCGCCCCTTTTGATAATACCACAACGACAGCCATCCTCGAGTACAAGACATCTTCTTGTTCTTCAAATTGTGCGAAAACTAATCCCATTTCCCCATCGTTACCAGCATATAACGACACAGCCACTGCTACAGCCTTCACAAGAAAATTCAGAAGCCCAAGAAAGGTCGAGGTCCCAACTGAAATCGATGAAAATCGAGTCATCACAGTCGGGCTGGGACTCGAGAACTGCCCAACAGGTGCACGCTCTAGAAACTGTCAAGGCCCAAATGGAACTCGATTCGCTGCCAGTATGAACAATGTATCTTTTGTACTACCATCCAATTTTTCCCTGCTACAAGCACATCACCAACGGATACCTGGTGTCTTCTCAACTGATTTCCCAGCCGTACCACCTGTAAAATTCAATTATACAGGCAACGTAAGCCGATCTTTATGGCAACCTATTCGAGGAACTAAGCTGTACAAACTGAAATATGGAGCAAAAGTGCAAGTTGTGTTACAGGGGACAGGTATCTTCACAGCTGAAAATCATCCAATTCATCTTCACGGATACGATTTCTACATCATTGCTGAAGGTTTCGGTAACTTCAATCCGAAAGCAGACACATCTAAATTCAACCTTGTTAATCCACCTCTCAGAAATACAGCAAGTGTGCCCGTTAACGGATGGACAGTCATCAGATTTGTCGCGGACAATCCAGGTAATCAAAAGAACAAATACTTATCATTTATTGATATTCCCAATATTTTCTATACAATTTCACATGATACAAATTTAACTTACAAATATAGGAGTGTGGATAATGCATTGTCATTTGGATGTTCACATTACATGGGGTTTGGCGATGGCGTTCCTCGTGGAAAATGGAGTTAGTGAACTCGAATCGTTGGAGGCTCCTCCCGTAGATTTTCCAGTCTGTTGACGATTACAAAAAAAGAAACAAACAAGAATTAATTTGAGTTTGAATTGCATTCAATATGAAAGTTCCCTGCATATTGTTACTAGCATTTCTTTGTTGCTTGAGATTAAAGCAATTGTATTGTTTTTTTTTACTGTAATTAACAGAGGAATTTTGGGTTGAGTTCCATCTTGACCTGTTTTGTACCTCGTTATCTAATTCATTTTGATCGAAGTAAAATTTAGAATGATTTGAATCTTGACTCGTTTGTTATTTGTCCAAATTTGAACCAACCCACTCAATTGTCACCTTTTAAATGATACTCATTATTTTCATAAGGGGGACATCACTTTTTTTTTGAGTTTATGTATTATGAAACAAGGATTCAAGGCTATCTCGAATTTTTGCGTGTTATTCTTAAAAAAAAAATATTAAATTATAAGATAGACTCGATTTGAACTCAAATTTTATGGATCTCTTGGTGACGACCTATTGAATAACACTTGCAAACTTTTAGACTGTTTCTATTAGCCATAATGAAAATGGAATTTCCACAATACATGCAAATTCTCTTATATATCTCTTTATACACGATTCAAAAGTTATTATTATTTTTTAAACTTCATATCATATTTAAATTAAAACACAAAAAATAAATGATAGAGTGACATCAAACATAATATTCTCAAAGAATAAGCAAAATTTAACATTGTTAAATAATACTCCTTTTTTCAAATATATAACTATAACAACCTTTCAATTTACTTACAAAGCACATTACAAGATTTCACCAATTTTATAACAAATTTTATCCTTCTTAAAAAGTCATTAGGATTAGTAAAGGTAAACCTAACTCCCTTACTTCTTGTACTTTTCTCTTTGAGCTATCGATTTTATTTAATAATAAAAACTAGCCCCCTATGTACACCTTATCTAGCGAAATTTCAATAAAATAAAATAAAATTGAATCTTAATAAAATCCAATTTCATCACAATTGCTCAATCCACTATCTCTAAACAAATCCCCACAAACAAATGCATAATCTTTAATAGGCAACATATGAACATACACCCATTTGAAAGTTTTAGGGTTGTTCTCTTTAGTAACATCCATTCAAAAAACACCTGCTTAAAATGAATGACAACACCAGTATCCTGACGAACCACCTCAAAAAACTTGGACAACCTTATTGATAAGCCACTGGATTTTGAAAGTCTATGAACGGGATGGAGTAGATGTTTCGTATTTCTACTCATCCCTTAGTAGAAATACATAACATCTACTCGTCTACTCCATAGATTTACATAGTCTGTGGCAGATCAAGAAGGTTGTCAAGTGCTTTTGACGGTTCGCCAGGATGTTGGTGTTGCCATTTGGTTTTTGATCAAATTTTTACAATGCTAAGAAAAATTAGATAGATATTTATAGGGAGGATTTAGTATAAAATTTGAATGGCATATATGACCGCAATAAATTATTTACCTAATAAAGCTTGGTTTCACATTTTTATGGTACATAATTAAGATTAGATTATTGTGATTGACCATATTTTAAAATTTTAAAATTTTCAAGTCAACTACAACTTGATTTAATGAATCTGGCACATAAAGCAAGTTATTTAAATGCAATTATTAATTAAATAGAATTAATAATAAATAATAGTTAATTGGTAATAATAAATTAAATTACACAAATGATTTAATTATATTTGACTCATTGCATACTCAGAAAAGTTATTTAAAATGAATATTATATAAATATGACTTATGATTTGGTTTCTTCTGTCAACTATGACTTTTAACTTTCTCAGTACAAAATTAAGGCGAGTTGTACCTAGTATTATCGATCTATTATATCGAAAATATCCAATTCATTAAAATATATGTACATAATATTTAGACAAAGACCCTTAATATTCTCAAATCATATATATGATGGAATTGGTCATTCCTAATAATCTTCTATACAAGCAAAATACTAGTTCTACCTACATTTGATTATCCTAGTCTTATACTACAAAATAGGAGTACAAAATATTTATTTTCTAATTGATATTCATTATATTCTTTTAAGGTTTTTTTTTATTAAATTAAAATTTCCAATTTAAATTTAAATTTTTGGATGGATGAGGATGTTTATTGAAAAAACAAGAAGTTGTTTAAAGTATATTATTTCTCCCTTTTATTTAAACTACTAGAATGCATAATCAATAAAATCATAGAGAAAACAAGTTATTCAATTAAATTTACAATATGGTTATGGTTTCCAATTTTCCTAAAAATAAATATATTTTAATTTTTATTTATATTGTCTTGGACTTGGTTAATTTTTATTCTTGTCAATCATTTATTAATAGTGATTTAGATGCTACTGGATTTTCATTAGCAGTGGCAACTTGGTATGGAGATCCCACTGGAGCTGGAAGTGGTAATTTATCGAAAAAACGATATATTTTTTTACATGTTCAGTATGATTTAACATGTTATAATTCAATAAATTTTTTTTTAAAAAAATTGTATTTAGGTGGAGCTTGTGGACTAGAAGATGATGTAGGAAAAATACCATATAACGCGATGATAACCGCGGGAAATCAAGTTTTGTTCAAACATGGTTTAGGATGTGGTGCATGTTATCAGGTACATACATATATACGACTTTCTTAAAATAACGTATTCAAAAATCAATAACGTTTAAATTCTGAATTTGTCGTTGTTGTTCAGGTATTATGTAATCAAAATGAAGAATGTTCACAAAATCCAATTACAGTTACTCTTACAGATGAGTGTCCAGGAACATGTAATGATGATCCAATTCATTTTGATTTAAGTGGAAATGCCTTTGGAGCTATGGCAAAATTTGGCCAAGCTGATCAATTACGTAGTCTTGGAAGAATTGATATTTATTATAAAAGGTGAGAGAGTTTCTTTATAACAAACTTCAAAAAAAATAAAAAATTGTACATTATTATGTTATAAATTCAACTTAGTATAAATGTGTTAATAATATAAACGAATTTGCATTATCTATGTGATTTAACATGTTATAATTAGTTGTAGGGTTGCTGTTAAAGAAGTCTCGCATCGATAGAGGGAAGAGAATTTGACCTCCTTATATGGACTTGGACAAATCTCCTCTCATGAGCTAGCTTTTGGGTTGAGTCAAGTACCATATCTTTACATGGTATCATAGTCGGATCCATCCCAATTTGCACCTCACCGATGTTGGACCCCCATTTAGAAGTGTTCACACTCCACCTTTGAGGTCTGGGCGTGCTGGGGAATGTTAAGAAGTTCCACACAGTAGAGGGATGGAAATTTGATCTCCTCATATGGATTTGGACAAACCTCCCCTCATGAGCTAGCTTTTAAGGTTGAGTTAGGCCCGGGTACCATATCTTTACATGGTATCAATGATATCAGAATCAAACTCAACCCAATTTGTTGTTCACCAATTGTTGGGCCCCCATTTAGAAGTGTTCACGTTACAGTTGAGGTTTGGTGCGTGCGAGGTAGTGTTAAGAAGTTTCACATCGGTAGAGGGATGGAGATTTGGTCTCCTTATATGGACTTGGACAAACCTCCTCTCATGAGCTAACTTTTGGGGTTGAGTTAGACTCAGATATCATATCTTTACAATCATAAAAATGTACCATCCAAGGACGGACTCGGTTTTTATCATAGAAGGATGCAAAAAATCATCATCATCCATTGGTTTTGGGTGTGTTTTAGTAATGTTACTTCATTGCTAATTTGTTCGTAGCTAATATAAATCTATCGTTTGTTCATATTAGCAATATATTTTGTTATTTAAACTACATTCTTTGGTTAATTCCTCTTTTTGATTTTTTTTTTTTCCAGGGTGTCATGTGACCACAAGCAAAATATTATGTTTAAGGTTGAGAAAGGATCCAAACCCTTATTTCCTTGCAATTGCAATTGAAGCTCAAAATGGAGATGGTGATCTTTCTTTAGTTGAAATAAAACATACAAATTCAAATGAATGGCTTCAAATGCAACAAATGTTTGGAGCAACATGGTCAATAAATATTTATCCAGACACACAAATACCTCCTTTTTCTATTAGGTTAACTTCACAAAATAAACATCAAGTTGAAGCTAATAATGTCATTCCTATAAATTGGCAAGCAAGAGAAATTTACTATTCAAATGTTCAACTTTTCTCCATAATTATTAATTTTTTTCTTTGTTTTTTTTGGAGGATTTGAGGAAGTTTAGATATTACAAAGTGAAATTTTGGACTTCCTTTGTATAACAATAATATATTCTTTAGTTATCTCAAGTTTAAAAATCTCACTTTATTATAGTTCAGAGTGTGTCGGAACAGGTTAAATTGAGGCGTTTGCTATGAAATTTTTTTTTAAGCTGATAAATTTATAAATGAATCAATGAGTTATCATAATTTTCTCTTTAAACATATACATCCCTTTTAAATTTATATCCTATTCTATTACTATATATCCTAGTTTTATCAAATTTGTATTGTTTATTAATTTATATTTAAGAGTAAAATGTGGTTCTAAAAATACTCAAAATAATCACACATTTTAATTTATCAAAGGTTAAATGTCCAGAGTCATAGTATACCACGATTTCATAACAGAAATCGCCAACATAAATACAAATAAGATCTTAAATTGCGTATTGAAAGAAAACGAACCGTTTCTATTCTCAGAATTGATATAGACCAAACTCGGAATTTACCAATAATTGATGGCCCAAAATTGCTATTATCCCAATTATAAAAATTAGAGCAATTGATATTGAGAGATGTGTGATGTTGTATTGCCATGAAAATTCAAATGTTAATTTACATGGCCTTTAACTTTAATTGTGTGATGAAATCTACACAGAGAAATTTGGCATTTAACATATGTAACTTTTCAAATAATGGATTACTCTTCTCATTTGTTCTTAACAATTTGTTGTTGCACCACCAAGACTGAAACTGGTCTATTGATCTCTGCAGCAGCAAGCATGTCACCAACTGTCCAAGTTCTGGCAAATCATTCCATTCATTAAGACCTAATAGTTGTTGTAGATCGTCGCGATGACGTCTTCCGACCATGATTAGATCAAAGGCTTCTTCCATAGCATGTATGATCAAAGCTGTTTCAGCTCCATCTTTAACTCTTTCCTCTCTGTATACAATGTTATCCTGGTGCTGACCTAGAAGTCTTACCTCCTTCAACATCTCAGCATCAAGTACAGCATCCCACTGGTTTTCACGTACGTCGATGTCCCATGAGACGAATCTAACCACAGTCAGTTGAAGTTCAGGTGATCTTGACATACGTTTAGCATAAGCTAACGCCTCGCGATCATCATTGCCTCCCATGAAAACCACGGCCACTTGATACATTGATGACTCATTACCGGATTGACTAGCTAGACGTTTTATTTTCTGACGGTCAATTAGGATACCGACAGAACAAGGGGCCAAGTCCAGTACATTGTTGTTGATTGTTCTCAAGTTACTGCTGTCCAAGATAATCTTCCCCTGCTGATTCCATTTCCTGTGAAACGGGAGTATGATCATGGACGCTAACTTGTCGAATGCAAGTGAACATATGTCCTGATGCATGAACCTTGGCAATGACATTGAGGTGAAGAAATGAGTACTAGCAGATCCCAAGAACTGGGTCTCAAATGCTATAAAAACTTCCACCATCTTTTGCGATCGAGCAACACCAGAAGTATTCTTTTGTCCAAGCTGATGATCAATTAGAACTGGGGATGCTCGACCAGCAAGTTCAACCAAGTGGAGCGCGTAAACAGATAAAGGACTTTCTTTACATGGAAAAGAAGCATCTAAGATCTTTCGGACACCTGCTACATCATCAAATCGATGAGCACATGAAAGCAAACGCAACTCAGAATTACTTGAAGCATGTTGGATGTCTCTTTTCTGATAACCAGCATATATCCTTGTATGATCATAGAGCGTTCCAACGCAGAAATGTGAGAGTGCAGCTATCAGTAATACAGATGCAGTTAGCATCGAAAAGGTTTCTCCATCAACTGTCTGTGCTTCAACAAAGGGGAACAGAAAACGGAATTAGAAGTTTGTCTGAAACAGGTTATTAGCACGTATAGGACGTTACAGTACGTACTGCAGGCTGAGCAACACAATCTCACAACTGTATTAATGGAACAGAAATATTAAGACGTTGAAAGGATAATTAAGCAATTACCTGATTAATAACATTGTTCAAGTAAAAAGACATCTGAATAACACCTTGTGAGGTCATAATGAAGGCAAGAGCCGCAGCATCTTTAGGTGGAACCTTGCAGGCCAATGATGAAAGGAAAACTGATGCGTACTTCACGGTGAGACAAAAGAACACCATAACCCATACCCAATTCAGGAAGACGAGATCATACAAATCAACCAGATTTACTTTCATACCACAATAAGTAACCAGAAGCGGTGCAAGCAAACCGGATACTAAGGTTTCTAATTTATCTACCAATGTTGAACCGAGAGGTGGACCGTCTGGTATGACAAGACCTAAGATAAAAGGACCATATTGGTAATTAAGCCCTGCATTATCAACAAGAATCACAGCTAACAGGACACAGACCGATGCCCAAGTAATGTAAATGGAATTTACAGGCCTGCCTTCTGGAGTCCTTTTGATAATCCAAAGTGAAATAGGTCGAACAGTAAACACAATAAGCAAGATTATACCAAGAAGTAGAACGAAAGACTGTACAGAGATAACTGTCGTAATCTCTGCTAACAATCCAATTCTAAGAGTGGAGAAGATAGTCAATCCGAGATTACTAAATAAGTCACTGATCAAACTTGATGCCAGAGCAAGACGACCAAGCTCGGAATTCATGATTTTCAGGTCAACAAGGAGAGATGCAACCACAGGAAATGCAATCAAACTCTGTATCAAGAAAATATTTTGGGCGGCTGGTTGTCGATATCTGTGCAAATTTGCATCGTCTGAAAAGAATCCAAAATAGAAGCTCGCAAAAGAAGCAACTGGTAGAATGACAGCAAGTAATCCTACTGTCCATGCCCTTGAACCACTTCTCAACACCACTTTTGGGTCCATCTTCACTCCACTTAGGAATATAAAGAAGATATAACCAATTTTCGACATTAAATCTATGAAAATTTCTCCTGATTGTGGGAATAAATTCTCCGTAAAGTTAGGGATCTTTCCTAACATTGTTGGTCCCAGTATGATACCTGCCTGTAGGTTGAACAAAAAACCATCAAATCTCGAGTTAAATACAACCATAAATGAAACTACAACGACATAATATTCAGTGTACGCAAACCTTACCCCTACCTTGGTAAGACAAGAATAAACGAAAATCACTATGCATTTTCGTGTAATGTAGCATTTCGTGCCTTTGGTAGTCTAAAGAACCACCACTTTAGCCTTTTTGATGCAACAAGAACAATATGTTGAGAATCAGGAGAGGTGAAATACAAGATTTTTCGTTCTTTTTCCAGTCGAAAATAGAAAGGAAACACTAGGATTGAAGGAAATGAATAACAAGTTATAGTGTAGAATTAACAAAGGCTTAAAGAAACTTGATTTAGCCGCGTCTTTTTGTGTGTTCATATGCATTAAAATACAAGGAAACATTGCCAAGCATATATAACCTAAGTTGCTCACGCTCCTCAAAAATGTCAAAAAATGCGTGTCGAATTTCCCAAAAATAGTGCGTATTTGGAAAGTAAAGAGTCCATGCAACTTACGAAAAAATATGTAATAATTTAAGTTCAGAATGCATGATTTAAGTGTCTTTTTGAAAATTCAAAACAACTTCAGATATTCCTTTTTATGTCTTTTCTCATAAAAAAAAACTACTCCCTATGTCGCCACCTATATGACGTTGTTGGAATTTCGAGACTCAACCAAGTTTTTCTTTCACCGAAAATTCATTCTCTCTTTTAAATATTACAAGCTGCTAATTTTGTGATTTATAACTTAGTTTTACAAATATATAAATTTTATTTCAAAAAACTTAAAAAGTTTGAATCTCGAAATTTCAATTGTGTCCCGTAAAACAGAGCAAAGCAGTTTTTTGTAAGGAAAATGCACAAATATCTCCTAAACTATAACCGAAATTCCAAACACACACATTAATTAAACAAAAGTCCTATTACCACTAAATTATTATTTTTTTAATTTTATGCACCTTTTTAGTTTACGTGGCATCCAAATATCTCCCACGCACCTCAATTGCATGGAGTCAAGACAAAAGGTTTATAAAATTACAAAAAAAAAAAATTCAGGGATAATATCTCTGAAATTTCGATCAAAGTCTGTAGTTTAAAGGCTACTTGTGCATTTTTTTATTTTTTTTGTATCAACTATTTTCATATAGTTATGAAGCTAACCCGAACACCATAATTTTTAAAAAATAACATTATGAATAAATGTGGATAAAGAGAGAGAGAAAAAATACCAAAATCTCAGAGATAAGACGGGGAAGACGGATACGCTTGAGAACCAAATGAAGGGACTGTGTGAGGAAAAAAATGAGGGCTAATTGGAGAAGCAACAGCGGCAAATTGAAATCGAGGAATAAACTTGCATCGGGTAAACCCCATATACCAGGTGAATGAAGAGGTATTTCAGCATAACATTTTTCACTAACGGCACCGGGTAATTCCCCGGTTAATTTCACTGATGATATCGCCGCTGTTGCCATTGATGATAATGATGATGATGACGACGACCTTGGGCTAGGTCGAATCACACCCACAATTGAAGAGAAAAATTTAACAATTTTTGCCTTTAGAGATTTGTAGTATCATTTTTTGTTTCAAGCAAAAATGGAGGGACCAAAATAGTATCACACCCGTAAAATGTTCAATGCCTTGGGTTTTCTTTTGCACAAAGGCAATGTAGCGGGAAATATGAAATAAATATAAGAGAAAGTATTTAAAAAATAAATATTTTTGAGAAAAATAATAATACAATTTCTTAGTTATTTTTCCATGTTTAGATAAAGTGAAAAAATATATTTTAGGAGCTTTTTATATATGTAAGATTAATACTATGGGATATAAGTGAAGAAGAACGTTGATAGTAAAATTATACTTATGTAATTTATCGTGAATTATGATAATGAATATTTTGCAATTTTTTCTTGGAGTAACATCCTTTCTTCGACCACTGTAATTAAAATGTTTTGCGCATCAGCATGTTTTTGTTTTATAAGATTGATGTGTGAATCGAAACTCTAGAAAAAACAATTAAGACTATTTACTTCAAGCGCTAAGCTATTATAAAAGTTATAAGTATATTTTAGTAAACTAATTACAATTCGATGTTAAATTATCTT